GTAGGGAAGTCAAGTGTGGCAAAGAAACACGATGACACAGAAGTCCTAAAAATACTCCTCATATGCTATACTGCAGAACGACATTCATGGCACTAGGTAACCATCAAGATTCTCGGAGAAGGAAAGCATAATAACATAAATCCACACCAATAAACATCCAAGGAAGAACCACAGAGACAAGCTTCCAGCTTGAAAAATCTTCCCACATAACCTTTGTGATGTTCTGGTTCAACTAACAAGGAAAAACCAGCTGAAAGAGAATGTATGTGATCCTCAATAAAATTAAGCTCTGTGTTCATGAAGTTTCAGTTAGACTCCCCAGTACATCATCCACGAATCCAGGCAACAGCAACTGTCGAAGCCAATGAATCGCTTAACCAAACAATCATGTCCATTCCAAACTTTTCCAACTGTCATATCATTCCTCAAAAAACAACTCTTTACCCCGATAGGAATTTAAAAAAAAACCTGTATTTTAACTTCAACAATCCACACATCCCCAGACCACTGCTGAGCCCTTGCTTGCAAAATTAAAATAAGGATCCGACCAAACTAATCTAATCAATCAAACAAATGTAACCGTGCTTCAGCAACCACTCTGGTGGAAAAATACCTCTAAAAACACAGCATCTCAAAGATCATAACCCAGGAAACAAAATAATAATAATAATAATTAATACGATGGAAATATATAAATAATTCAGAAAACTACAATTATCATCCTCAAATTTAGCGAAACCAGAAACAAAAACGTGAATAAGTAATTCAACAATAAAAAATGTATTATTATTATTATTAAGCATTTTTTATCTGTCCATAAGTTTTTATATATATTTAATTAATTATAAAATCCCAAGAATTCACGAACTTTCCTCTTTTATCTTATTTTCTCAGCAACCAAACAGAAAATTAAGGGAGGCAGAACAGTACCTGACACTCGACGATTTTTCCAAATCGATCAAACGCATTTTCGAGCTGTCGTTCAGTTATGTCCCATGACAAACCTCCAACAAATATTCGATTCTCTTCCTTTCCAGACATTTATTTCTCTCTATGTCAAATATAAACGCAGTTTTCTGCATGAACACGATGCCGTTTTAAACAGAGATTGAAACGGCATTAAAACAAGAAAACTAGAGAAGAAATTTGTTACCTTTTTTTTTTAGTGTCTCTGTTGGTCTAGAAACCCTAGAAATATCTGAATTGTTTTTTCGTGTTGTTGTCGAGAGACTGTATTTGTATCTTTCTAGAGATGGCCGTGGATCATAAATATCTTGGGGCGTTATTTAATTGAGCAAGGCCTTTGAACATGGCCCATCTTGGCAGACAAAAGAATTATAAATGGTTGAACATTTTAATAAAAATAAATCAGATTTTATTTGAACTTACCCTGTCTTTGAAAGATTATAAAATAAATATGAGAATGTTTTCCTTTTCTGACGTTGTATTGGGAATTTGAATCTGTCACAATCAAATTGTTGTAGTTACAATCAGGGGTGAATACAAAAATTGAAAAGTAGATTAAATTGAAAAAATTAAAAAAAAATAATTAAAAAAAACTGTGAAATAAAACAAATTAAATTTTTTAAAAACTAACCATATCGGTTCGGTTTTGATTTTATAAGTTTACAATTAAAAAAATCAAATTCAAATCTAAAAATCTGAACCAAACCAAAAAAAATAATTTTTATTCTAAAATAACCAAACCGAAATGAAACCAGTTAGTTTGAATTGATTTCAATTCGATTTTAATTTTTTAAAAAATCAATTTAATTATTTTTTTAATAAAAAATAAACCAAACTAAAAATAATCATTCTTAATTATAATTCTAAATCATTAATCACTAAATAAAAGATAAAAATACGTTTAGTATAATTATAATTTTTAATAATAATATTTTAAGTGACCGTTTTCTTTTATTTTTTATAATTATAAATATTCACATCAATTTACATATATCTTAACTAATTATAAGACTCTAAAATTATCTATCAAGTACCAATTACCTCATACCTCTTATAATTATAATTAAATGTTATTACCTCTTATAACTATAATTAAATGTTATTATTTATGGTTATCGTGGTTACGAGTGTAGACTTGTAGTTGTAAACGTGATGTACGATACATGTTGTTAAGATGCTTTTACTTTATATGAGATTTAATAAATAGATAATAAAGTCTCATTTCATTACTTTTTTTTCCTCTAAAAAATACACAAAAAAATTTAAAAAACAAAAAAATATTTTTTTTAAAAATTCGATTTAACTACAAAATCAGAGACAACCTTATTTATTGGAAAGAAACACTTTGATTAAAAAATTAGAAGACATCATTATGAGACCGGTAATGGACTCGTTGGATGATTTCATAATACTTACAAGGTAAAATCAGCAAAATTTGACATCGCAAGAAGAAAGAGAACAATAAAACAACTTGCAAACCGGGCAGACCTCAGATGAAACCGAAACAAATTTGATTGAACCGGTTGACCCAAAAGAAGTATAAAGAAGGAACAGTTACCTAAAGGCCGAATTCAAAGATATTTAGGTCAGATTCGAGACAGGAGACATGAAAAACTCCAGGAATTAGGATTAAATATTCAAAACACTGGCTACAATAGTCAATACGTGATTAAACCAAAAAACCAGAAGGCTGCAGAGACGTGTGATGGAACACAGAAGTACTTCGGACGGTGAGGAATTCAACCGCATGGGAGGCATCTACCATGACAAAACATGTGCAAGAAAAGAGAACAACATGCTACTCCTATCATTAATTGTAGAAATTAGAGTAAATTGAGATGCATTTATAAAGCCTTTGTTTTTCCTTGCCGCCCACCGAGCACAAACTAAAGAAAAGCGTAATGAAAATTGTACATCGTGAGAACCATGCTCTTGTTGGCCTCGTTATGTAGGGAGACATTCTCGTCAACAACCAACGTTAGGATCATCAACAAGATTCCTAACATCACCCATTGATAAAATGGCAATGTCGTGAAACCCATGCCATCAAGCGTTTTCGTAAATGGTTGTGGTGAACTGGTTGGTGATCGTAGTTTATACAACATCCTAGTGTGGTGGTAGCAATGGCTTTTATGGAAACAAAACCCAAAACAAGACGTCACAAAAAAGATAATAACTTTTTTGAAAGAAAAAATAAAGCACCTGCATTATGTTTATTGCATTTCGACACGGGAGATGAAAGACCTTGTCATTTCCCTTAAGAAACATCTTGATCTGTATTCGCATGCGGTTAGCGCCTAGCTGTACTAGAGACTCAAAACGATAAGATAGATCGTGATGGCCCCTAACTGAAGATAGTATCTCAATTTATTCCCAACCCATCAACACTTTCCTAACACCCTCCTCAATCTTGTTCCTGGACACAGGTAACCCATCACCTTCAAGTAGTATTCTGTACACTTCCCATTCCCGATCATGAATCATGTGCCTCCCTATCTCTACCTGATCAGAAAATAAAAGATACCATAAAGTGTGAGATAATCTTGGATAGCAATCATGTGTGATGTGCGCACCCAAAGAGAGGAGAAAGAATGGTACCGAGAAGATGGGGGTGTTTAGATTCTTGAGAGCCAGAGTAATATCGTGGAAGACAAGTGGCCGGCCCCTGCCAGACAACTCAACAGGGTTTGCAACAAGCAGCTCAGTATCAGGGCCCCGACTAACCACAGCCAGTCGAAGAGGACACAGAAGCTCCATTCTCAAACGAGAACACAATGCATTTTGTTTGTTGGGATCAACTATCTTCTTGCCATCTGCTTGCATTAAGAACAAGTCCACTTCACAGTTTCCTTTTCTACTGGCAAAGAAGCGTCCGTAGGAAATCTGAGATAAATCCATGTTTCACAATAAATATTATTGGTAACCAATGGGAGAATCACCTAGAAAGAGAAGCCATTAGCGAACTTCCACTGCTCAATGAAACCCATAACCTTTTTCTAAAAGTTCCACAACAGGTCCCGTGACATGATGATTTTCTCGTTTAAATAAAGGCTACAATCATGTTTCCTTCAGAATACAGGGCAGTTTTTGCAACATATTATTATGGGTTTCCTTCATCAACATTTCCGCAACTCAGCCTACAGGCTATTCCCTTAGAAAGGTCAGAGATACCAAGACTACCTAGGTATAAATGGTTCATGGTTTGAATTACTTACCTGGATATTATAATCCTTTAGAGTTCTTGTTATGTCATAAATGAGACCCTTGTGATCCTTGCAGAGAATTTTAACAAGTGTGTGTGAGGGACTGAAGGCATTGTCCACTGTAACAGAGACAGGGTTGTGGGCAAGAAAGCCACTTCGGGGATTATTGGGAAGCTCTAAACTAAACATGTCTTCTGTGATTGCAGAAGGAAGAAATGGTGAGCCTTGAGAACATGCAGTAAATTCTGGCCCCGCTAATTCAATCTCACAACTAATCAAGGCCTTCCCTAACACATTCTTCAGATAATGAGTTGTTTCCTCCTGTCTCGTTTTCGTGCGAAGAAGCTCCCTGATAACAAATGATCGAATTCCATTGATTAGCAAGAGAAAAGAAAGACAACCTTCAGACTCTCTCTCTCTCTCCAAACACACACACATAGACAAATCCACTCTTTATAAGTACACATCCAGAGTGAGTAACATTTTTGCAGCCAACTAAGACATTTTCTGGACTTTCAGAAGCTATAACAGTTATATAAAAAAATGAAAATGATGGTGATATGAGGAACAAGGCTCTTTTTTCTAGACAATAGCTAGCATAAAGGATTAGTTAAACATGACCTCATCAAGATAATATATGTGGAAGAGCCAGATAACTCAATAACTGAATTTATCCAGCATACTGAACTAAAACATTGAAGTCTGAAATGATTGGACATGGATGCTAGCATCATGGCAATTTAAAACAGGAACGGATATTTTAAAGATCAAAGAAAAATGCAGGTCAAGCCACGTACCAGGAACAAGCATGTAGCATTCAATTGGATTACTTAACCACCATAAGTTATTCTAAACACTCGCCAGATAAAAGTAAAAACTTGTATATTTATCAAAATTGACAAATTTGAGGTTATTGTCACAAAATGACAACAATTCTGTCTTTGTAGACACTTAACCCATCACTGGCATATCCAATAGATGCCATTGGTCATTGGTCATCTCTTATATGTCTTTAAGGTTGCAATTCAAATGCAAAACATATGCCATTTAGTACTGGTTGAAACCAGGGAGCCAGGGCATGACTGGTTGCTGGGATGGAAGGATAAAATAAATGTGAAATCTCACAATGTGGTTTTCAACTTTTCAAATTGCAATTAGCCTTGTTTTTCCTTTGGTAAAGAAACCGTAGGAGCATATAATTAAAAATAATAAACTACTAAAAGCAGAAATGGAAGAAGAGAGACAGAAAGACATAACCATAGTTGATCGACGTTTCCAAGAATGACCAACCTAGTATCAGTGATGTAAAAGAGGTCCATCACTCTCCCATCCGGAGCAGTGGACACCTTCACTCTTTCTATTGTCAGCTCCAGCTCACATAGAACCTCAGTTACATCTAAAAAGATAAAAGACTAATTAGCAAAGAATAGTTAAAAGATAATGTTCTACATGCTGTGATCCCATATTAAAACATATATATGGGACAAGAATGATCATTTATAGAAAAGAGGGGTAATTGGAATACACATGTAACTCCTTTATGAATTCTAATGCTCCCTCATGGTAAGCAGGCACTCATTTGGAGAACTAATATACCCGGTATCGCAAGACTTCCATCTCCCAAGTTTCCAAAACATTCCAACAGGAAGCAAGCCCATATGAACAGAACCAATTTTAAAAGCTGGCATGATGTCTCCAGAAATGAAATGTTGGATTACCGTGTAAAAGACCTTCATAGTCATAAGAGCACCAGAACTTCAACAGAAACACATCTGGCAGCCTTGGCTGTTGGTTCTCAGGTTTGTAGAAGTCAATCTCAGAAGTCGAAAAATATGATGGACACACCTCTAATAGCCTCTGCTTCAATAAATTCCACCTTGTGCTTGGCTTCCCCGCCACCCAAAAGACTATATAGCACCATTTCCCATCCGTTTGTCCATCTTCACCATGCAAAATCAATTCAAAACTAATCAACTATAGTTTCAGAGAAACTAAGTGTACCATAATAAAACTCGAGGAGCAATCTCATATTTCATGAACTATATATCAAACAGTGTTTCATAAAAGAACCTAACTCAAACAATGATACGAAATTGAAAAAATAGCAGGGAAAAACAGTTAGATGCATACACAATTTGTCATGATTGTCTTGGTTATCCAAAAAAAACACCTACAACCTAAATCATGATAAAAAGAAAAAGAAAAAAGAGAGAGAGTATACACACACTACGTTTCAGCACGAAAAAAATTGTAAAATTTAACCACCTAATTTCTCAACTGTAAATCCCAACAACCTCCTTCGACGCAGAGATAAAGGAAAGGTGCAAACAAAAAAGATACCATTTCCCTTTTATTCTCTTCTCCTTCAAATAACGGATCAAAACCCAAATTAATCATTCAGATAAAAGCAAATTTACAAAACCACAGCAGCCATAATGATCTTAGATCCCAACAGTAAAAGAAATCCCACAAAGGAAAAAAAGCAAACACTCAGTGATCCTTCTGCTACAAATCACAGAGGCCCAATTAGAGTAACTCAAAATTAACAAATCTAAAAACATTGTAAGGTAAAAAAAAAAAAAACAGGCTTACCTCCTTTACAAATGCTAAATCCAAAAAGCAAGATAACCCTGCACAAATCACAGCCAAGTCCAGCTCTATCAGGACAATTCACAGTAATCACAGTTGATTCTCCAGGCTTCTCTCCTTTACTTATCACTACAACATCGTCTTGCAATATCCCCATTCTCACCAGTTTCTCTCTCTTCTCCCTCTCCCAGCACACCCTCTTTTAACTCTCCCTCTCTCTCTCTTTGTTACCTCCAAGGGGAGAGAAAACAAATGCAAATTTAACAAGGATAGGTTTGGTACTGTGCTTTGAAAAAGAAAAATATATGTTTTTTTATTATTTTAATGTACTAATATTCATTTTCAGCTCTTATAGTGTAGGATTTTCAATGGTTACTCTATCATTCCAGCAAAAAGCTGAAACATAAAATAAATTGAGAAATTAGAAAAAAAAAAATTTTATTTTTATTTTTCCTGTATGGATTTAGTATTTTCTAGCAAACCCCACACACAACAAAAAAAAAAAAATTATAAATTCCCAAAACTTATTTTCTATCTTCCTAGATACTAGTTCATGCCATACTAACACAGTAATACAGCAAAAGTTCTTGAAAGTCAATAAAAAAATATATTCTAAATTTATGAAAAACGTGATCCCATACTTCATGAACTGAGTTGATGAATTTAAAAATCTTATCCAGGTTTTCGTTTTAGTTGAGTTCATTATTCTCCCTATCAGATATTATATTTATTTTCACAAGGAATTATTGGACAGTTTAAATACATTAGTGTTTCATTCAGATAATATTTATCATAATTAGCTTTATGTTTATATAAGTGCATAAATACTAGATAATAACAGATAATTTATTTATCTTCACTACTCAAGAGAGCCCAGAACCATGCAGGTTTCTCGATGGCTGTAAAATGACATGATCGGCACATCGAGATTTTCTTATAAACTATACCGTTAGTGCTGAGAATCTTATTCCGGTGGAGTCAGAGAGTGGGATTTGTTTTTTTATTTTCCACGCTATCCGTTAGCTGGGGCTTGGAATTGTTTAGGTGGAACTGCATACGTGGATGATGGACATTGGTTGGGTGGTAAGAGGTGTGTGCTCGACGAGGACGTTAGGTTTTACGTTTGCGGCAGAGAGAGTCGCGAGTGACGTGTAGGGGTTCGAGAAGCCGTGACTGTTGGTAAATAACGAGTTTATGGAGGTAGAGTTTAATTAAAAAAATATCTAAGACGATTAAAAAAACGGAATATTTTATTATTTTTAGGGAGCATAAAATGGAAATGTAAATATATTTTAATAAAAAATCTAGATTTGAGCATTACTATTTCCAGTGTGACTTATAGGTGAATTTGCTCTTCAATTCAAATCATACCGATAAGGGAAAGCAAATTACTTTAAAAATAAGTAAAATCATCCTAATATTAGATTCAAGGTTCCTACCGCAACATCAGATGATGGTAGCATGGAAGGCATGTCATCCACGTGCGAAGGGGCCTGTAGTTAGGAGATATTAACATTAACAATTAAAGGGAAAAAAACGAATTTTATTCTGGTTCACGCATTTATAAAACACCATCTATTTGCACTTTTAAAGAGTCTTTTTTTTTTAAACTTCGATCCTTGTAGTTTTAAGAGTTTACATTTCAATCATGATATTTTATTAATGTTATATTCCAGTCCATGACAGTTAAGATAGAAGAGAGAAAGAGCAACTCCTTTCGGGAAAAAAAAAAAAAAACACTTTTCAAATAAACAACCCTTGTTTATATCATGATTGAAATGTTACATTTCGGTCCATGGCAGTGACAATATTCATGTATGTGCTGTACACACACATCTCACACGTCCTCAACCATTTAGAGTATATTTGTTATTTAGGAATTAAATATTTTTCAAAGTTTTTTTTTTGGAAATATATCTATTTTTATTTTTTTAATTTTATTTTTGATGTTAACTCTATAATAACATGAAAACACACAAATAAATTAATTTAAAACAAATAAAAATAATTTTTTTAAAAAATACTTTTGAAACACAAAAATAAAAGAATTTTTAAAATTTATTTGGTAATGTAATAACTATTACTTTTCAAAATATTTTTTATTTTGAATTATATTAAAATATTTTTTTATTAAAAAACACTATTTCTATTGTATCATAACACTGCAATGTGAAACCCATTTTAAATAGAATTATTGTTAAATCTTCTTTATTTTACACATTAATTTCCATATAAATCAATTTAAGAAATTTTCAAAATTATTAAAGGGAAAGAAATTAGTTGTTTGTGTATTGGACGCTGCTCTAGTATATATTATTCATGATATTATTGTAGAAAATACTTTATTTGAAAATGGTGATAATACAAATACATTTTGTACTTTTAATTCAACTCAAGTATTTTTATATTTGAAAAAAATATTATTAACCTGTTGCGGAATGCAAGTCAATATATTATTTTTTATATTATCATGTGATGATTATTTTTTAAAATATTTTTTTTGAAAAAACTATATTGAGATACTATTTTTTATTTTTTATATCATTATATCAAAATAATATACAAACATAAAAAAAATATTAATTTGAATTGCAGAAAAAAATTAAAAAAAATTAATTTTTAAATCATTTTTGAAAGACAAATACAAACATATTTTAATAAAGAAATTCAATCTACTCTCGAATGAAAAAAAAGTTATTATCACCAAACTTTTATATAATATAAAAAATATTTTATCAATTTATTTTCTTTTTATAACATGAAAATAAAAAAAATAAAAAAATTAAAAAGGAAAAACAATTAAAATTGGAAATATACAGATGCAATTTTATTTAATGCATGATCCAATTAAAAGAAAGTTATGTAATTGATTTTTTTACAAACGAGTTTATATAGACACACACACACAGCTAGTCTCGTCTGCCTGGCGCCTGTTGTTCAACTCCTTAAACGAATCATGGAAGTAATTCCTCTGCAACCAAAGCTTGGCTCATATGTGACAACTATGTCAATGGCTGCCTCTCTCCCCAACAGAATGGAGCGGGGAATGAGGTTACAATTTCAATGTCACTGGATCAGGTATCTAAAATATTTGTTTTTTGTTTTAAAAATGTATTTTAAAAAATTAAATTTTATTTATTTTTTATTTTCAATTAATATTTTGTTAGTATTTTTAAATATTAATATCAAAAATAATTTTAAATTTTTTTTTATAAACATTTTTTTCGAGTGTTGTAAACTTCTTTTGATCAGTTTAATCTGTTTTTCAGTATAAACAAACATAGATTAATTTTTTTTATGTGTTTTATTTTTATAATTTCAATGTTAAAAATTAAAAAGAATACTTTGAAGTATTTTTAATTAAAAATTATTTTTATAAAAATTATTGCATTATTAAATACAAGCTTAGTATTTAAAATTATAAAATAATTTCAATAAATCTCAAAAGGTTAAATAGATTTTTTGTTTGTTTTTGATTTGATTTATTGAAAAAAAAGAATTGAAAGATAATTCTGATTTTTTTTAATTAATTTTCAATTTGGATTTTTTTTTTGTTTCTAGGCACCGCAACAAACAAATAATAAGTCCACTCTCCGCGAATGATGGCAGTACAAAGCAAAAAGCTTTGTTCGTAATGGGAACAACTGCCACTGGAAAATCAAAACTCTCCATCGATTTAGCCACTCATTTTCAAGGTGAGATCATCAACTCGGACAAAATTCAGGTTTACAAGGGCCTCGACATAGTGACCAACAAAGTTTCGGAAAATGAAAGTCGAGGTGTGCCTCACCACTTGCTAGGATTTGTGGAACCTGGGGAAGAGTTTACCACACAAGATTTTTGCAACCATGTACATATGGCCATGAGACAAATTGTAGGGAATGGAAACATCCCCATTATTGCCGGCGGCTCAAACAGGTATATCGAAGCACTCGTCGAGGATCCACTGTTCAAGGATAATTACGATACTTGTTTTCTATGGGTGGATGTTGCCTTGCCAATTTTATTTGCTCGCGCAGCAAAGAGGGTTGATAAGATGCTCGATGCTGGTCTTGTCAATGAGGTCCGAGGCATGTTTATTCCAGGGATAGATCACAATAGCGGGATTTGGCGGGCTATTGGGATTCCAGAGCTGGAACCGTATTTTCAAGCTGAAATGCAAATGGCCGATGAGGTGACCAGAAAAATGTTACTTGACACTGGTATCAAGGAAATGAAAGAAAATACCAAGAAGCTAATCAATAAACAACTGACGAAAATCAAATATTTGGCGAATGAGAAAGGATGGAAATTACATCGGATTGATGCTACTTCTGTGTACGAGAGAAGTGGAAAGGTAGATGAAGATGTTTGGGACAGCAAGGTTTTGAGACCTAGCCTGGAGATACTCATTAATTTTCTCCAGGAAGATGGGAAAGCAGAAGAAGCAAAAGCTACAGTTTCTAGTTCCAAGGAGCTGCATCTAGTCCGTTGACATATTTATTTAATGTTTAGGGGGATATGTCATCAGATACACCGCTTTGTTCAATTTTCTGTCGCATCTTTACTTCTCAACACATCAAAATAAATAAAAATGTTACTTAGACTCATATATATATAAATGATGTGAGAAAAACCATGCTCATTGTCTTCGTAGTATTTATTCCCTTTGGTAACTGGGTCTGATTTATTCAAAAAAAAGAAGAAAAATTAAAGACCAGATCTCTTCAGGGTTTTTTTTGTTTACGAAACCTGCGCATGATCCTGTCTTTTGCACTGTACATATTTTGTCTATTCTATAGGAAACATAATACTTCTTTACTGCAACTTAATTCAAGCAGTAATCCTTGGCTATTAATAAGATAAAATATTTATCGTCCAATGATCTAATTAATCAGGCTTCAAGTGTTTTATACTTTGTATATGATTCTGTTGATAATTTGGATTCTGGATGATTCTTTAATTAAAGAAAATGTCTGAATTTGGCAACAAAATATGGAAATAAGGAAGAGTCAAAATGGGGGTGTGAGGGAAAAAAAAGGAAGGAGATCTTTTTGTTTGGATGGAAGGAATGGATGGTTTTTCATTTTAATTAATTTATTTACTTTTATAATCTAAAAAAATCATTTTGAAAAGAAAAATATGATATAGGTGTAAATACATGTCATTGTTTCACTGAGAAGTAGGATTCACCTTGATAAACATCCGTTTTTGTGTTTGACTGTGTGATTTTTAGAAGATTAAAGACTCGATTGTTAAAAATTAGAGTTGAGACACTTAACTGTAAATATTGATAAAGTTCAAACACTAAAATCAGCGTGTTCTAAAAAAAATAATAATCGTGCATTGCAATTCCGCTGCTTCTATTCACGGGGTCACTCCGTTCATGGACTCGACAGAGGAGGAGTTTGAGAGGATGTATAGTGGTGTTTTGGGTGGTGGTGTGCCTGCTGTGGATGAGGGTTCAGTGTAGTTTGTGGATGCTAGTGGTTTGCCTGGTAGCATTGAATGGAGAGAGAAAGGAGTTGTCACTGATGTCAAGATTCAGGTACAGTTGCTAGCATTAGACATTAGTATATTTCTCGAGTTAATTCATTAGAGAGCTAATTTGATCAAGCACCTGGCTGCAGCACTGCTTATTCATTCTGATGGGATGCCTTTAACAAAATTTATTAGAAGGCTGGAGATGTGCATAGTTCATTTGTTAACGAGTTTGTGAGACTAATATCGCAGGGTGCTTGTGGATCATGCTGGGCTTTTAGCACCACTGGATCTGTTGAAGGAGCAAATTTTATTGCAACAAGGAAGCTTCTCAACCTTAGTGAACAACAGCTTGTTGATTGTGACAGTGTGGTTAGTTTCTGATTCCCCTTTTGATCTCTTGTTCTGATCATTAGACAGGCATCACAACACCAATAACTTTAGACACGACATCACCTCAAATTGGAGAAGTTTTGTCATCAAAATCAAGACCGGAAAACTCAAATATAATATCCACTGATTTCCTTGAGATTTTGGTGCAACGTGACAATAAGACAGAAAAGACTTCCTGTGATGAGGTTGCGGTGGAGGATTCATGACCAATGCCTACAGGTGTTTGATCGAGGCAGGGGGGTTACAAGAGGAGAGAACATACCCTTAAACAGAGAAACGTGGGGAATGCAAGTTTGATCCTGAGAAAATAGCTGTAAGTTGCGGCAAATTTAGTTCACCATGGACTTCTTGCAAGTAAGCTGATCCTGAGAAAGTAGCTGTAAGTTGCGGCAAATTTAGTTCACCACGGACTTCTTGCAAGTAAGCTGACCTTCTCTGAAGAGTAGCATATATGGATTCATAGAAGACTGCTGTTAATGGTTTCAACTTCCATTACACCATATCATCAATTAGCATTCGTTATTTAATATGTCGTGATCAATGATATTGAAAAGATTTTATCTGGGAAAATACAGCTGCATTGACTGCAATATTAATGCAAACTTGTATTAGAGGGGTCTCGTGCCCAGTTATTCGCGGCAAGAAATGGCTCAACCGTGGTGTTCTACTTGTTGGGAATGGTGCAAGAGGTTACTCCATTCTTAATTAGGTCTGGCTACAAGCCGGACTGGATCATCAGGAATTCATGGGGTGAGCAATGGGGAGAGAAGTGACATTACCTTCTTTGCAGGGGACATGGCGTGTGTGGCATGAACAAGATGGTCTCTGCAGTGGTAACCAAAGTTGCCTAAATATAACTATGCAAGCAAAACCAAAGGAAAGAAGAAGAAAAAATGGTTTGTTTGATTTAGTTTAAGTCTAGCTAACTAGCTAGCTTTTGTTATTTTGCTACTTAACAAAAGATCCGGTTTGTTGCAGTTTTGTGGCTTTAGGCTGTTAGCCACGAAGGCATCATATATGAGCCAATGTCTTAAAGTCACCTAGTAATTTAGAGTGACGGAGTTTCTCAATTTTAAATGATTGTAGACTCTTTTTTCCATGCTTTGCTTTGTCTAGAACCACCTTCTTGGTGAACCGGCGTCGGATTTTCTTTCTTCACTTGAAAAATCTGATCCTGAGAAACTTGAAGTTGTTTTCTGTGTGTTTGACTTCAAGTTAGAAAATATTGTCATCTTGAAGTCTTTCCTCTTTATAAAAAACGTCTTGATCACCATCATTTTCATGGAAACTATTCATTTTGCGACCAAACAAATTGAACACGACCTCCAGCCTTGCCGCCACTTTTCATACTGAAAACTCCTGAATTGTTTTACATGTTTACTTGCGACTTTGAATGAATTCGAACTACATCCTTGCAGGCCAAGTTTATCCATCAAATATGCTCCCTGAATAATTATATTTTATGTTTGGCTTGTTTGTTTTATTCATCATCATTATATATATCTGAATTTATTTATGAACGTACGAGTGAATGCATCTATGTCTTCCATCCATCCTTCTCCTATCTATTTATATCAACTGCATAGCAAAGCTAGTTAACCATATTTGCCACACTTTGAGCTGTAGTATAACATAAAAAATGGAGCTTTCAGGCATGAGTTCATCCACTTTCTTTGCCACTTTTCTTGCTAATACTTCAACTCTTCTTTTCCTTCTCCTCAGGTCAAGGAAATGAGACATATAGACTCTCCCTCGCCTTTAAGGACCAGATTGCTAATGATCCCCTGGGTATTTTGAGCTCATGGAATCAATCCACACTTCTGCGAATTTGTGGAAAGCAGCATAGAGAGTTGTTGAGCTTGACCTGAAGTCTTGCAAAATGATATGAATATCTAAAAACTTGAGCTGTTGGGTGATGATATAAGATATGATTTATATAATTTTTTAACGTATTATTTTTATTAAAAGCTCTTTAAATTTAAAATTGTATCAAAAAACTAATTTAAACCAAAAATTTAAATTACCAACTAGATCTTAAAAATAATTTTACATTATTCTCTAACATCTAATATTAATGAATCTGGAAAACAACAGCTTCATCCAGAACATCACTCGGGAACTGGGTAGTTAGTCTCGGCTACAGGCTTTGGTCCTAACAAACAACTCGTTCAGTGGTGAAATCCCTGCCATCATTTCTCGTTGATCAAATCTCTTTAGCCTTGAATTAGATGGCAACAAAAGATAACTCTTTCAAGCAACCGATGGATTCTCCTCGTCCAATTTAATTGGTGCAGGTAGTTTGGGGTCCTTGTACAAAGGAATTCTTGCATCAGATGGAGCAGCTGTGGCAGTGAAAGTATTCAACTTACTACGTAAAGGAGCTTCCAAAAGCTTTTATGACAGAATGTGCAGCCTTGATAAACATCAAGCACCGAAATCTCGTCAGAGTTGCAAGTGTACGTGCTGGTGTTGATTTTGAAGGTCATGATTTTAAAGCCCTTGTTTATGAGTTTATGGTCAACGGGAGTCTAGAAGAGTGGTTGCATCCAGTTCAGATTTCAGACGAGGCACACGAGGCAAGAAACTCGAACCTTATTCAGAGGTTAAACATTTCAGTTGATGTGGCTGCTGCGCTCGACTATTTGCATCATGATTGCCAAGTGCCTGTTGTTCACTGTGATCTCAAGCCAAGCAATGTTCTTCTGGATGCTGATATGACTGCTGGTGTTGGTGATTTTGGATTAGCGAGGTTCAGTCCAAAAGTTTCACTTCAGTCATCTTCAATTCAGAGTTGCTCTGTTGGTATAGAAGGAACCATTGGCTACGCAGCGCCAGGTATCAATAGAATAAACTTCTGTCATTTTATATGAGTTATATTCCTTTTATATATATATATAATTAAAAAAAACAGTTATTTTTTTTAATAATTTTTTTAATAATTTGGATTAGACCCATCTATCATGGATGAATCAGGCCTAACCCAATAACCAAATAAATGTTTGGGACATGATCACCATCATTCCTGCCAAAGACATACAATCCTCTCACGTTTAGTCTCCTAAAATTCTTTTGAAATAATAATATTATCATCTCGTAAACTGCCATCAGATGATGAATTTAGGAAATTAAGACTGACCCTTGTGTGTCTCTTGGCTAGAAGGCGCAAGGACATAAAAAATGCTTATATTTGCAGAGTATGGCATCGAGTGCGCGGTGCCAGCATACGGGGATGTGTACAGCTTCGGTATCCTGTTGTTGGAGATGTTCACAGGAAAGAAACCAGTAGATGGCTTGTTTAGTGACGAGCTGAACCTTCACAATTATGCTAAAATGCCATTGCCTGACCGTGTACTTGATGTTGTGGAACCCTTACTTCCGAGAGAAGTTGAGTGGACAAGTACCGATGCCTCTTGCAGAAAGAATGGTACTGGAGCTCACAAGATCTTGCAATGTCTGACTTCAATAATCAAGATAGGACTTACTGAAGAATTTGAAGATGGGCTTTGGATCTCAGGGTATCTGTTTGTTGAAGAATTTAAGGATGGGCTTTGTTAGATTTAATGGGTATTGGAATTTTATGTTACTGGGCTTTGTTAGATTTAATGGGCATTGGAAGTTTTCATTTCCTGTGTTTGCTGCGATACTTTTTGAAGGATAATATTTTAAAATAATATTTTTTAAATATTAATATATTAAAATTATTAAAAAATCGCGAAGAATCTGTCAAATCTTTGGTTTAGACAGTCCCGAACGAGCTTACCAGCAAAAAAAAAATAAAATGCAAAACCCTAGAGATCGTAGAGCCAATGAAGAAGAGATGCATAGACAGTGCATTTAAGGTCATGAAAGTACCCAAAAGACCAGGCCAGCTGGTTAACGAAGGGAGAAGAAAGAAGGGCATGATGGAAAACCACGCAGCCACGCCAAAACCCAGGCAACAGAGAAGACGAAGCAAGCGGTGATTCTACATTTCTACTTATGGTTTTTCGAAGTATATTTTATTTTAAAATATATTAATTTTTTTTAAATTTTTTTTTAATATTAACATATTAAAATAATATAAAAACACACTCAAAAATATTGAGATGACACAAAAGTTGTTTTTCCTGAAAATATATATTAAAATATTATTTTAAGATTTTTAATTTTTAATATTAATATGTTTAAATTATGAATAATTAAAAAAATATTAATTTAATGTTTTAAAATCAAGAATATTTAAAAAAAAAACATTGAAAGATAAAAAAACAAAATAACACAAAAGCCGAAGAACTATTGAAGTCCGCTATGAGAGTGTGTTCACAGTATTTTACCCCCACCTCCTATTTGTTTTTTAGTTATTAATGTTAATTGTTAATAATTGTTAACGCTACTGAATTTATTACACGGGTTATGCCTGCCACGTCAGCCTATAGACTAAAATCAATCAAAATCTGAGACGTCAATTAGAACTTTCCCTCCAACTAAAGCATGTGAAACATCAACCTTAAAATTTCATTATACACAATTCTTAAATACAATTATTAGGAGAATTAAATGTGGTTTTTTTATTAGGTATGGTTATTTTTTAAATAATATTTTTTATTTTTAAAAAATTATTTTTAATATTAACATATCAAAATGATTCAAAACATACAAAATATATTAAATTTTAATTAAAAAATTAAAATTTTTAAAACATTGTTTGCACTGTATTTTTAAATAATGTATTTTTGAGTTTTTTTCTCTTTTATGTGCTGGTTTCTCGATATAATTATTACTTTGCTTCAGAAATTTTTATATAGATGGATCAAAACAAAGTTTTTGAATTGGTGGCTGGTGAAGCTTTACGAGTCTCGAGCAATGTTGAAGTTACTGACCAAATTGGAGATGGTGTTACTGTTGCAAAGCATGAAAATAAGGAATTGAGAATTTTGCTCGGTGAGGTTGTGAGCAGCAAGAAAAAAAAGTTTTATTTTTTTTAAATTATCACATTCTAAAAATCTAATTTATAAAGTAACATAGATTAAAAAATAATTAAGAATTTAGCACAGTTGAGAGAGTTTAAAATGGCATCCATGACTTTTTTTAACAAGGATATCAAGAAATAATCTATTCTGCCATCAACTATCCCTCCAAAAAATAACAATTCATCCAATCATAAATAATTAGTTTTTTATCATCAAAATACAATTTATATATACATCAAATAATATATTAAATTACGAATAATAAAAGTACATTGACTTTTAAAACAATATAATATTTTATTAAAAATTAAACTAATTATATATCTATCCATAATTATCATAACATATAATAATATATAATTACATCTATTCACAAATTATACACGGTTCACATTTAGTGAAATACAACATGTAACTAGATATAAACATGATTGATGATGTGATTATCATTTACTACAAGTACAAATTATTTAATTGATGTTAATGATTTCTTGTATTTCTCTCATAATACCAGTTATTATAAATATTTTAAATTAAAATATATCAACTTTTAAAATCAAAAAGAGATATCGAGTATGATCTTAGAGTTGCGTGTTTTAGCTAAAACTTTTAAAGATCACAATACAATAATGAAAAATTCTTCAACCTTTTTTTCTATATTTTGCAAAATATTTATCACACCCAGTGGTGGAGGCAGGAGCCCCGATCACTCCAAGGAAAATTCTCCCCAGCCTCTTTCTTAAAATAAAATCTCAAAAAGAAAATCTCCCCTGTTAGTTAATTTGGCCCCCCTTGTTTTTTTTTATTGCTCCGCACTGATCACACCCAAAAAAAAAAACTATTTGCAGTATAGTTAAAACATGTAAGCTACAAATAATTTTTAAAATATTATTAAATATCCCAACACATTAGTGGTTATATTATTATAATGACGACCCTCGTAATCATAAGACAATGCTTTTGTTTTTTTTGTTTAAACGTATTTTCTACCTCCACCAACTTCTTATTTAAAAATGTGTGTGAACTATCTACGTGGTGAGTGATCAAGTGGTAAGAACTTGAAATTAAAAGGTTTGTTCTCTCTGTGATCTCAGGTTCGAGTACTTGATTGCTCATATGATGGTCACTAAAAGCTTACATGATTGTTAATTTTAGAACCCATAGAATTAATCATGATACACATAAATTTATCTAGATAAGCACGTTAATCTAAAAACAAATATGCGTGTATTGAAACTTTTTATAGCAGAACGAACACCAATGCAGGACAAACATCCTCCTTTACTTAAAGCTTCAATATTTTTATAAACAAGGTAGGATTGCGACCCTTGCTTTCCGACAAATCGAGCGTTTTCTCGTGCCGTACGTAGTTTGCTGGATCAAAAGTTCATTCACACCTATTAAATTCAAATGTATTGATAAATAATTAATTCTTATAAAACCCGTGACCACAGGGTTAAAAGACACGCGCTCCACCAACTGTGCTAGGCGGGCTTTTTACTCTTGGATTTTTCTTTTTTCTATTTCTTTTATTGAAATTAATTATTACAATTTCTGTTTCCAAAGCTCTGATTTTTTCCGATTAATTTAATTTCTTCAAATAATTATTTGACATTTCTAAATTGAATGGAACGAAGGAATCCTTCCGTCTCTCTCTTACCTTTTCTTCAATTTATCAATTAAAAAGAAATGCAACTTAATTAATTAATTAATTAGATTTTAAATTTATTTTATAAAACCTTAATTTGATTTTATAAATTCTAAAGTTACTAGAAATTTATATAATTATTAATTTTAGAATCTATAAAATTAATTAAATTACATACAATTTAATTTAAATACATATATTAATCAAATAAAAAAACTCATTTTAATGCTCAATGAAAAAAAATCATTTTTTTATTTTTTTATTTGAGCATCATTTTGTAATTTTTTTTATCTATTTAATAGAATGATAAAAATTATTTTTTAAAGTATTTTTTGGTTTAAAATATATCAAAATAATATTTTTTTTAAAATTTATTTTTAATATTAATTTATTAAAAATAATCTAAAAATATAAAAAAATAATTTAAAACTAAAAAAATTCAAAAACACGTTTACATCGTAATATTAAACAAGTTCCTTTAAACTAAGTTTAGTTGGGACTAGACTGCCGCACTGGAAAACACGTTTACATCGTAATATTAAACAAGTTCCTTTATCATACCTGGTTGAAATGTGGGCAATTAAGCAGTGCTCGAGCCAGCTTCGATGAAATTCCTTAGAGAAGCTTACTGTATTGAGAAAAGCTTCTTTTGTCTTTTATGTAGCTCATGTGCAATAAAGTAAAATAAATTTGGTTGCCCGTATTGAGAAAGGCTTCTTTTGTCTTTTATGTAGCTCACGTGCAATAAAGTAAAATAAATTTGGTTGCCGTTGTTTTTAAAATATTTTTTATTTATAAATATATTAAAATAATATATATTTTTTAATTTTTAAAACTTATTTTTTACAACTGCAAGCACAATAAAGCAAAAGCTTTGGTTATTTTAGTGATGCGCGAAAGCGGTTCGATGAAATTCCTCACAGAAATACATAATTACTAAGCGTTTGCAAAAACTGCAATGCGGTTGCTTTGTGTCAAGGCGATACTTTAATGGGCTTTGATTTCCATGGGATAGAAAAGGATAAATTTTTGTATCTTGTATTTGTTCAAGCCGGAACCTTCCACATAAAAGGAAGACCACGTCGAGAAAAAATTATGTCAAGAGTTAAGTTTAGCCAATTTTTCCCACGTCATTAGTGCTCTAAGGTATTCTGATAGTCGAGGCTTGAATTTTCCTCACGCATTGTATTTTGGTTTCATTTGCCGTGAAGCTAATATATCACATCTTCAAGAGTGAAGCTATTTGAATGATCATGTCTAAAATGGAGATTCCAGGCTTGAGTTCGAAAAAACAGTATTCGCTTTTCTTGCTAATAATTCAATTCTCTATTGCTTCATGTTTACTTGTAGGAAATGAGACAGATAGACTCTCCCTGTTAGCCTTCAAGACTCAAATTAGTGATCCCCTTGGAAAATTGAGCTCATGGAATGAATCCTTACACTTCTGTGAATGGTCAGGAATTATCTGTGGAAGGAAGCACCGTAGGGTCGTAGAGCTTGACCTGCACTCTTCGCAACTGGCAGGCAGCCTATCTCCCCACATCGGTAACTTGAGTTTTCTCAGGATACTTAACCTGGAAATAAACAGCCTCAGCTATCTTATTCCACAGGAGCTAGGGCGTTTGTTTCGGATCCAGGAGTTGAGCCTTGGGAACAACACATTCAGAGGTGAAATTCCTGTCAACATCTCGCGCTGCACAAATCTCTTGAGTATTGGACTGGCGAGCAACAATCTCACAGGAAAGCTTCCTGCGGAATTTGGGTCACTGTCAAAACTACAGGTACTCAATTTCCAACATAACCATCTGTTTGGTGAGATTCCACCTTCATATGGAAATCTCTCTGAACTTCAGATAATTCGTGGAGTGCGGAATAATTTGCAAGGAGGTATTCCCGACAGTATTGGGCAACTAAAAAGACTAGCAGACTTTACATTTGGTGTTAATAGTTTGAGCGGTACGATCCCTTCCTCCA